AAAAGTAATGTCCATACCAGTGATTCTTTTGAAAGTCGTGTAGGCTGTAAATACACAAGGTTCACTTAATTCGAATGTGATTTAGATTTAACTCACTTTAAATGCGATGTGGTCAGTCCACCAGTCTGACATGTGAAATCCAAGATAGCCAGTTGCCTGACAAACAAACCGATGCTATGCTATGTAATTAAGGAATTGTTAAAATTACGGTATTTAAGCACTTCAGGTCTGTTTTCAGGCTTACAATATTTGTGGTGTGTGCGTGCGCGCGCAGATTCTTCCCTCTCTCATTTGGTCTTTCTGTATGCGTATCTCTCTTCACACACCAAAAAATGCAGACGTGGTGAGATTTATGCATAAAGGGAAAGATTGTTAATTTTCAACTAAAATTAGAGATTAGTTTCACTAAGTGATTTGACCTTTTACCGTATATCATAGGTTTTCATTACTTTAATTTTCCAAAAAAAACAATTTTATGGAGTTGTAAATATTTCACATAATAAGATAATTAATTAGATAACATTTTTAAAAGCATTTAGTTATTTCAGCACAAACGATCGTAACGAATCACTCATTTTGCGTAAACCTTCGGAAACCCAATAAATTAGTTATTAGGCCTACATTTTGATAATTGCACGGCCATTGTACAGAACCGCAAATTTTACATTTAAAAGAAAATTTAAGAAAACAAATGCTGCAAACGTTCCCTTCAAAACCTTTTTTTTACAGTCTATGATACATCATAGGTCTGAATTTACATGATAGATAACTGAATAGGTTATGAGCTTGATAAGAATGATAATTTCAAGCAATTAACTTTCAATTAGATTTTACCAAGTTAACAAAGGACATTTTATGGAGATTGTGTTAACTGGGCACCTCTCACTTTTTCTTACTCATACCCTTTTTCTAAAATGGCAGGTTCAAATTTGCTCCAGCCTTGTCTATGGCAGCCACGTTATTTATTGCAATTAAAAAATGCATTGGTAAAATAACTAATGGGTCCCACAATAGTCCAGAGGGTGCTGTTCCGTTTTGTTATATAATGTTCAATATCTCTTTAGTTGAACGGTAGCCTATTTCGTACAGTATACTTCTTTTCAAATAATCTGAAGCTTTTCCTTAGGACATCTGTTGGTTTATTTCAGACATGTCTTCTTTGAGTACGTGCGATTGTGATGTACAGTATTTCATGCTATTAAGTTGGCGATCAACCTAGGAGACTAATTTTCCGATCTCTGACAAATTCACGGGCGTAGTTCACCACCTTTGAACTTGACCCAGAAAGACGATGTATTTTTGTTTTACAACATTGATCTACGTGCAGTCGTGGAAAACGTCGAGGTTTTTTATTTATTTATTTATTTATTCAAAGGTGTTATTTGCAGCTTAATCGCTATATCCAATTTATGTCGTATAAGCTTTTTTATGGGCCTAAGTTGTCGTACTTATTGTTGAGAGACATTCAGATATTTTACGTTTTTAATCTCACGATAAATGCAACCCATTTTGCACAAATAGTTATACATAATTTTTGTTAATTAACTGATTAATCTTAATTATTATACTCTCTTAACAAATAACTTTTTATTTAAATTGACGGGATTACCGATTGCTAAAATGCTCTTCGTAATGAAAAAAGTTATTTGCATTGATAAAAACGAACGAAAAACCCTTAAATGGTATATAAAATCCCATTTGGGAATGCGTTAATAATGAAACACGAGTAGAAACTGCAGATAAATGAGAATACACGTTTCAATGCGGAAAACGTATGCTGTTAAATTTGTCAATAAAGCATGCGCTCTGAGCTATGCAGGAGAAAGCCATAACAAGGCTAAGGTAAGCCTTGAATCTCACGCTGCGTGTTCGATAAAGTCTCAGCAGTGTCACTCCTGTCACCCGTGTTTTACCTTTGATCCATTGATATTTGTGTTTAGTGAAGGGGCAGGGGTGGAGCCTTCGTACAAGCAAGATAAGTTAGTGGATTTGACAGCTGCCAAAAGATAAGTACAACGCAGTTGACCAAGGCTGCAAAAATGAGGTAGCCGATGCAATTAAATCAGTCTCCATTAACTATTATCCCGTCGTGTGTCTTCTAGGAGTTGTGCCTAAATTTATTCATTGCAATTAATCGCCTCCAGACCTGCATTACTTTAAGAATAGAAACTCATAGACCTGTTCTTCGTAAATAATAAAAGGAGAACCTTAAATCTAAGACGATGATATTTAATTTGTAATGTAAACTGTTTGAAGGGTAATTATTCTGTAATTGATCATTAGTCTTGTATTTTTCGCTGTACCTTATGGCAAGGCCACGGGAATTGCGAGGGGGTTCATTCTCCCATTACAAGGATCAGTTTCAAAAGCAATTTGTGAAACTGGATAGATTGTGTTTGTCGTGACGTCATATTTCAGTGCATGCTATAAATATCACCTCAAACTAGCTTCAGTGGCCAATTGCAACTGGAACGCGACTCTCTGGAAATACAGAGTCCAATAAACTAAAGCAGAAGCCTGCGAATAATTTGGTCCGTACAGTATATATTTCGATCATTAAAACAGTTTTTGCCAATGAACTGAAGTGGAACTCGAACGAAAGGCAGGCTGTATATCACTTATAGCTTTCTTTCTTTTTTTCAAATGTAATCGTATAGCTAGTGCAATAGGTCATTAATGTTTTTTTTTTTTTTTTTTTTTTTTTTTTTTTTTTTTTTTTTTTAATCAAGGCATGAACTAACTTTCTTTTTCACACAAGAGTCCAAACCGTCCATGGTAGCCTACTGCTTTTTAGGATCAGCGGACGTAATTAAAGCTAGTAATTGCAGATTAGAGGTTTTGGGTCATTGGGGTTATTTGATAGGAGGCTGTTTTAAATGACGGCTAATTATTTAACATCACTCTTAAAGCGCAGATTTTTCACCTGCATAGGCTTAAAACCCAGACCTTAATTTCAAAAACCACTGCAAGCATTTGGAAGCTACACTAACTTTTTCCCCTCACTGTATGATGAATCATGGCAATGGCCCTCTGTGATTGATCGTTTTCCCTCTGCATAAGCGTGGCGTTGTTGAACGTTTAAGTTAATGTTGATTCTGAAGCAAGTTTTCGCAGCACGGGGTAACTTAAGCGGGTCAGAAGGTTCTCAATACAGCGAGTCCCATGGCCCGTATGCTTGTTAAGAAAAACAAATCGATTAATAGGCCAAGCCTATACAATGTAGCATCATAGTCTACCGCTCACTGTTTGTAAATAATGGCCTTTATGTAGGTAGATATTGCATCATTTTTAAAAAGAAACAAACATTGTAGGCCTAGTAATATTTTAATTATATTCTAATTAATTCGCCACACAATTGAAGCCTTTTAATCTTAATTTTGCAAGCTATCTGGGCCTCTAAAATTAATTAATTTAATGTTCTCAACGTTAACAAATAATACAAACTTTCTAAAACTGAAATATAAATCCCCTCCTTTAAATTCAGCTAATTGTCCACCTTTAAATGCAAAACACCAGGCGCATTTAAACCGGCAATGCAAAATTAATAAAGGGGAGCCGAGCGGTAACGAGGGGGTGTCCTGTCTTTTGAGGCACAACGGAGGGAGAAAGTGCGCCAAATTTGTTTGCAGCGGATCAAGGCTCACCGCCTTCACTGCACTTTCTTTATCTTAATTCCAACTTGAAAAGATATAATTATCTAGTTTGAACAGGGCTGCTATCAAATCCTTCTTTAGGCAGGGTAGGGAACAGCTCGAGTGGATTGTGGGCTCTGAGCCGCTCGGTGTTGCCCGAGATAGGAGTAATGAAGTTGTGGAGTCCGGAGATACAAAGGGCATTAACCTCATTAGCATGAAACCTTTTCTTCTAACTATTGTGGGACCCTTTCAGCCTTCTAATCCCTCTATTTCAAAGCTGGGTTTGTAATAAAGCTTTTAGGGGTTTTTCAAAGCTAATAGTATTCTCTGCAGATTTTTTTATTACCGTTATAGTCCACAGACCGTTCAAAAATCCCTTTATATAGCATGTGTATGTATAGCCGTCTGAAATCTCCAACATTTATCAAACTATGATTAAAAGTTTTTGGGACAACACGAAAAACGCTTAACCATAGTTTGTTGTGGGTTTCGTAACATTTGATCAATAATGATATTTAATGCAATTTTGTTTTGAAATCGTTGACTATTTTAGGATACTTTTTAAATGGATGCAAAATACAGTCTCTGGATGTATTTACATGTGCTCAAATACAAATATAAATTTCACGTTCTGTTATTTTATATAATAAAATACAGGAACTGACAACAAATGCAAATAGAGCCCAGCCGTTGCTGCAGACAAGATTTTAAACAAAGCTCCTATTTTGCGGCACATTGCAAACCTTCTCTTATCGCGTTGTGAGAGGTAGTCAGATTGTACTAAATTATGTCCAACCAGGCCCCCTTGGATCCACGGATTAACAGATTAAAGTGGACCACTGGGCAATGCATCCCCTTTCCCCCACATATTACTCGTATGATAATTGCCTAAACTGATTTGCACTTTCACAAAAGCTCGCAGGACTCTTTGTAGCTTGAACAGACCAGACGCTGCTCTTCTACCAATGGAAATAAAACTGGTTAATGCCAGTCTATCAGACTGAGCGGCAAATGAGGCAAGAAAAAAACAAGCACTTTGCTCTGGAAAAACCGAGCTCAAGACCGTTGCTAGCATTTCTATGTGTGTTGCAATTTAACCAGTCAATTTCCCCGTTACATGTGCTCAAATTAATTAGGCAGCTAGTGGAAAATTCCATTGATAAAATGACGATACCTCGCTTGTTGTCTGCTTGTCATTTGAAGGACAATGAAACAATGGACCGCATCTAAAGACAACTGTCATTGCAACCCATACCCATATTATAATTGATTTCTAAAAACAGACATAATAGAATGCAATACAAACCATTACCTCTACATGGCAAAAGTTTCATTTTGGCCCCTTTTGGTAGAACAAAAAGGCTGTTTTTTTTTTTTATTCTGAGCAACATATTGATAAAACTTTATTGACAAAATATTGACAATTACATACTTCTTGGAAGTATACTTTGTGTTAAAATTGTAGCAAACTTAACACAAACACAAAATTATTTACATTCTTGTAAAAGACGATTTAACATAAACATTAGCTTTTAGTATCTCTATACATGGAATACGCTCAGTGCTTGAAGTTTTGCTGCCTAGGCGGTTGTCAATTCTTGCATTAATCCTTCGAGGCAACTCTATAGAGGGGGGGCGAGTCCCGATCATATATTCGCACCAAGATTACGGAGTCATGGTAAAGCTTAAATTTTAAGGAATGTTTTGGAGAATTTTCATTATAATTACTATTCTATGTGGTAAAGTTTTTTTTTATAATCTGATTTTAAATTTGTTAACTTCTTAAAAACACTATAACGCAGCACTGCTACTTCATATTGTTTGCACAATCACTTTAACACGAGAATCATAAATTCAAAGACTGCACACTGTTGTAAAAAAGGAAGAAGCACACAACATTTCTCAGATTAAAAATATAATCAAAACAAATTTACTTTGAAAAAATGTCAAATTAATTAACCTACCAAAAAAAAATCATTGCTCTACCATGCAATTCAAGTTTTACAAAAACAGTTGTATATTTTGGTTTCTTGATGTGGAAGGTTCACGTCTTGCAAAAATAAAATGAGAGAAAAAACCCTCAGAAGTGCAAATGTCCTATGCGCATTTGAGCTATGTTTTGTGATAGTGGTGATGAGGTGGTGCAGGTATAGTGTGGTGATGGGGCGGGAGGGGCTGCGTGTAATACCTGTCAGTCACCTTGCCTTGGCAACGTGAAAATTATTGACAGTTCCCTTGTAGTGACAGCAGTGCCACCAACAGGATCTCTCACCCTCAAGCTGCCGATCTCGAAGAATCAAAATGTGATATTGGCTTTACCCTCTCCCTCTGTCAGTACACAGCATCCTTATCCGTGACATTCTTCAAGCCACGCCGCTGTCCCGGGTTCAAACAGTTTAAGTCTTTTAATCGTCTGAGGTGACGTCAATTTCCTCAGGGCTTCCTTGTTTTGTGGCCAGTCTCCATCGGTTTATGTGATGAGTTCCTTTCTTTTTCTGTTGTGAATCCGACCCTTCTTCCTCCAGTTTCTGGCGCTTGAACTTCGTCCTTCGATTCTGAAACCAAACTTTTACCTGTGACGGGGGTAAAAATGAAAATAATCAGCGTAAAACACAACGACTCTCTTTTGGGCTCTCAAATAGAACAATTAAACAAAGAGACTTGGCCTAACAGAAGGTATCACTAACCCGCCTCAAGAATAACTAGGGCTGGACGGACAAAGAACTGCCAGGTATCTCACCGCCAATCTAGTCGGGAGACCATTGGTCGACTTTCATTTAGTGGTCTGCATTAATTAAAACAGCATAAAGAATTTGACTGAGGTATTAAATACATATTACTGATATGTGAGAATTAGATTGTTGGGGAAAAATACACGCTGGCATGGCTTTCCTTTTAAAGTGCACCTGACTTTTTTTTTACGAACGACAGGTTGAATCATCACCATCATGCCCTTCTGCAACTTTAACCTCAAACTTCATAAACTTGAACGGAATGCCTTTTATAGACGTGTATATTATAGTGTAATAGGCCTGCCAGTGTAACTTCACCGACACTGTCGCTTATTATCACGGATCAGTATGTTAGCTGGCCTATTTACAATTCATCCCCTCATTACTGCATCCCCGTATTAAAGCTTTTCTATAAGCACACATTGGTAAAGTTCAGTCTTTAGCTTAATTCATCACCTTTATCATTCATATCATCCGTAAAGCTCAAAGCTGACAACTTGGCAAGTGAGGCACATTTAATGTGCTTTCAGAGAGCTAATTGAGGCACTGAAGTGGCTCGTAGTCCATTTCTCTCTCTTGTTCTTTGAAAAGCGGTATTTAGAAAAGGGCCGCTGCTGTCACCGGGACAATAGACTCCGACCGGGCCACTGAACGATACGTGCAAATACGATCTTAAATATGGTCGGGAAAATTCATAGAATCTGCCTCATTCTTTTAAATGTACATTTAAAGCGGTTAACTGGTTAATTGGCAAACATTTTCCACGAGAGTCATCTGCCTAAAATGTAATCGTTCAACCTCACAAAAAACGTGGTGAATTGTGAATGGTGGAATTAACTAACTTCAAACCATTACGCATTTTAAAACAACGCATAGCTCCACATGTAGCCCACGTTTAGCAACAACAACACACACACACACACACACACACACACACACACACACACACATATATATATATATATATATATATATATATATATATATATATATATATATATATATATAGGCCTATGTATATATATATATTAAAAAAATATATTAGATATATAGGCCTATTTTTTTTCTGCTATAGTCAATTGGAAATCTAATTGTCCCCACGCATAGGCTACTTAATATACAGTAAAAGAAGGCACGTATTAGCCAATTAGTACGACTATATACGCTGGCAAAAAATAAATAAAAACTTAAATGTTGAAAATGATGGCATACAATTTTAAATGGAAAGCTTCAATTGTTTATAATTTTTTTAATTGCATTTTTAACACAAAAACGGCATGTAATAAACGTATACTTTATTTTACTATGTAGCCGTATTGATTTCAATATTTGTTAAGGCCGTATATCCATAGCACTATGCGCACTTCGGCTTAAGACTGCTAATGAAGACAGGTAAACACATTCTTACCTGAGTTTCTGTGAGGCTAAGGCTGTGAGCGAGTTGTTTTCGTTCCGCACCGACGACGTAATGATTTTTTTCGAAAGCATGTTCAAGCCGTAGTAGCTGTGATGGTGAAAAAGCTGTACGAATCCTTTTGGGCTTTCTTGCTAGAGCATTGTGCAATAGGAAGCTTTCAGGACTCGTTTCGTTTCCTGCGAAGAAAAAAAAATGACTATAATTAAAACTCATCGTCTCCGCTATATTATTATTCTTTCTCAATATTTTTCGGTAGCGTTTTCAAATGTGTTCCCACGAATAATTTCTTACTAGGCTTAACGTTTAAAAATAAAAAAAAAATTATATATATATATATATATATATATATATATATATATATATATATATATATATATATATATATAGAGAGAGAGAGAGAGAGAGAGAGAGAGAGAGAGAGAGCATGCAATACTTTACTAAAATATATCTCACAATAATAACAATTAGCCGATCTTGTCAAACAAAATTATGTGAAAAACATTTTTTTTTCTATCATCTCTGGCACGAGTTAGATAGCGATAATGTTTTCTGCAGCCAATAAAATTTTTGTTGCAAATTAACTAATTCAAAAAACGAGTGAAAATATGCTAATTAGAAATATGCACAAAATAATATTAAATAACGTTTTACAATAATAAAACAAATTAAGTACGGCTGTTTTTTAATCAGAAAGTCAATTTAAGAAATTCAGCAGCCTTGAGTGCCTTTATCTGTAGTAGGCTAAAATAAGGTTTTCGCTGCGGTTGTTTCAGATCTACTAGAGTGATGAATGTTTTCTCAAATATTATCGAATTATTATAGTAAAAGAATAATATATAAGTATATAAAATATCGCTAAGTAAAAAAAAGAAGAAAAAAAAGCAATCTGTGCATTATGCATGTGTATTTACATTGTAATATGTAGGCAATGCATAAACATTAGCATGATATCAAAGGTATTCACTATTATAATTATCAATGTTCGTTCTTGCGGTGAATAATAGGACAATTTTACACCATTAAGGACCGAGACGCACTTTCCGATTATGGCGAAATTGTTATTTACGAGGGGAAAAATAAAACTGGACGCAAATAAAACTTGCGTTAAATTAAAATCATTTGTTGCTTCAATTATTCCTAATTTACAATTTTCATATATATTTAACTATTAGGCAATATAATGTTCGATATGTAGCCTAACATTATTTAAAAAAACATTAGCACAAAAACAAAGTCTGTTAAATTATCTAATTATTTTAATAAATAAAAAAAAATATATATGAACGTTGTAACGAGATAATAAGTTTTAAACTAGGTTAATGTTTGTAAATGGATTAATGCCAGGTTTCTTTCTTTCAGCAAATGAATAGGCTAAAACCGTTTTAAAAAGCAAAAACTTCACAACATTAGCTGAAATTTCGATATAATAAAATGGTTCTAAAGTTTTTTCGATAGCATTCATTTCAGCATTTCTATAAAATTAAGAACTTTTAGTTATTTATCGATGGAAAGCTGCCGCGTCCCAGGGCCGTGTGGCCTTTTTTTCTCCGTACAACTGGTCAAAATAAATGACGAATAAAATATTATAAACTTACCTTGAAATCTGTGACCCAAGTATCTATATCTATGTATCAACCACGGGTAAAAAGTTGAAGGGTCCCTTTGCTGGCTTGCGAAAAGAGGGTGCGGACTGTGCGAAGACGACAGTGGGTGAGCAGCCAAAGCATGAGGAGGAGGTACTGAATGGACTGGGACGGCGGAGTTGGGAGGATGTGAAACAGCCTCAGCGAACACTAAGTCCGGGTTTGAGTAGACGCCCCTGCCGCTGGAGTGAAAGCCGTTTAAAAATGGATTCATCTGGCTGGAGTTTGCATAGCTGAGAGCCGCTGGTCGTATGGGCTCCTCGGATCTCGACGATGGCAAAGGATTATCCTTCGCTACCAAAGACTCTATGGTAAAACACCTCTTCGGTGTGGGTTGAAACATAGTTTACCAGTCAAGATTCCCCAGTTTAAGTGAAAACGGCACACGCGTTTGCACTAAAAAATACTCCACACCCAAGACCAAAGTTTTGTCTAGCAAGAGACAAGTTATTGACTGCTAAAGAAAGGGTAAAAAATCTTGAAAAAGCGCACAGCTCAACACATCGTGGGAGAGGTAGTCGACTTCTCCAGACAATCCATGAATGTGATCGGTTCCTCACCAGTTGTGCTAGCGATTTGTTAGTTCATGAGCCTAATTAGCTCTGGAGTCACATAAACAGTTTCCTCTGAAGCCTGTAATGGCTTGGTGATTGGTCGCTGCCGCTCGCCTTAAGGTTGAGGGAAGAGTCTTTAAGTGCGTCAATACGAACGAGCACGGAGAGGCGGATTCAAGCAAAACGGAACGGATTCGCCCAGAAACAGTGCTGTGGAGTAATTTACATACGCAGCTGATCCCATTGAGAGACTCGAGGTACTTCAGCATGTATTTGTGTTGCACGCAGAGCCTAACGACGCTTTTACACCCTCTTAGTACAGCACCTCAGTTCTTAATCAATGCACGTTCAGATGGAAAGCTACACATGCTGATTTGTGCATGAATATGATGCGTAAAAGCGGAGTGTTGTCCAAACATCTAGGTGCAGTCAATGAAATTATGTCAGGAAAATCCTTTCAAATGACAGTCACGGTTTATATTTAACTTTTGCAGGTCTAATTTTTTAGCAGTTCGGTGGGCCTGCTTAACCCCCCTCTACATTGTCTCTCCACGTTTTTATTTTCTCCGATGGGTTTGTGATTAGTTTAGGGATGAGAGACTCTCTTTCTCTATTGGCCAGGAGTTAAGGCTTATTAGACACAGACAATATTTCAGCTCTGTTTGTCTGTCTTATGACTACAAGACTTTATTACCCTCTAACTACTCATTAAATTAGCAGAGTTCAATCCCATTATGGATTGCTAATGTGCATAATGCATCTTAAAAATTCAGGTATGCAGTTGTCAAACCGGGTTTAAAGTCTGTTTTGCGAGGCGTGAGATGGTTCGTGGATATTTTAATAACATTTAAACTTTTTTAGGATTTAACTTTTTTTTTACTTAATTTCATATTAATGTCATGCAATAATATATAAACTTAACATGCACATGAGTGGAAGGCATGACATTTTAGAGAAATACGAAAATATAAAGAAACGGAAGAAGAGTAAGAAAAAATACTGTTTAATTTCTTCCGATTTGTAGACATTAAGTAAAAACTAGTCTTCTAAATTTGTCCATGTGGCAAACACGCGTTTTATGGTTTTTATATGTTTTATGGAACTTCATGCAATGTGGGAATCATTAAATTGCCAAATAGCTTTACATTTTCACTGTTTATAAAGTAACGTGTCTA